CTATCTATCTATCTATCTATCTATCTATCTATCTATCTATCTATCTATCTATCTATCTATCTATCTATCTATCTATCTATCTATCTGTTTGTACCACCCCCCAACCCCCATGTACACAAAATCGTTCTTACTCAGCAAATTTCACTACCCCACCCCAACCCCACCACTCAAAATCTGAAGAAAAGACCACCCTCACCCCGCCACACCTCGGCCCCTGAAGCATCTTTTTGAACTTCATTTCAGGCACACATCCATGGGGTTAGGGAGCCCACAGCCTCGCTACGCCAATAATGTCCCAATATCCCTGTCAATTTTGTAGTGTCCATATTTGGCAGCTCTGATCCCCAGCACTGTGTTCTAAGCCTTGGGGTCCGTATGGCGTGCTTTATTGGCGGCAGTAGGCCATCTCTTACAGCTGATTGCTGAGGCTGAGGATGAGGCACAGATTTGGGAAAAATACAAACAGAGCACACACACAAAATTTGTTTGTTTTAGTAGTAAGAGTTTTACGGCACTTGGAACTCAATAAGGTCATATAAGTGTCGAAGATTAGAGATGTTACAAAAGAGTAACAAACACAAAAAGATGGAGGGGAAATACGAACGTAAATGTTTGATAAGAAAGAAGGCGCAAACCACACCACAGCATATGTCAGTCACCCATACACAAAATTTGAGGGGGGGGGAGAGAGAGAGAGAGAGAGAGAGAGAGAGAGAGAGAGAGGGGGAGGGCGGACAGATAAGGAAAGAGAAACGGCCAGAGAGAGAGAGAGAGAAAAGAGAATTGGCAGATCAACAGGGAGACTGGCAGATAAACACACAGAAAAACACACAGACACACAGGTATACAGACTCACAAACAAACAGATAGGCTAAGAAAACGTAGTAAGAAAGGTAAGTTAGACAGAGACAAAAGAGCGAAACAGAAACAAGTTCTCTTCACTCTGTCTCCTATGTCCTTCTCCTAATTCTATCCTCCAATCCAAAGACCGCCGACCCGCCCATTCTAGTTTTATTTCCTGCCCCTGGGCACCGGGGGCGCCCCGCGAATGTAGCTGGTGAGCTCAACTGTGCAGCGATTGGGATAAAACCTGGCTTTATGATGAGCCAGTAATGAATCCAAGTTTTATATGTTATGATCATGCGGTGCCGGCTCATGGGCTTGGGCTTGTAGCCCGCAGCCGGAGATAGTGAGATGTGAGATTGACATTGGGTTGACATTTGGCGTGTTTAGGCTGGCAGGTTTTGGGTTTGGTTTTGATTTTTTCTTTGGCTATTCCGCCATTCTATTCTGTTCTCTTTCCTCTCTCTTTCTCTCCCCCCGTCTTTCTCTTTCTGC